GCCTCCCGGGGCCACCCTGCTGACCAAAATGGAGCGCAAGAGCATCAAACATAGTCCAAATTTAGGTCATTTTTGACAGCTTTAACTCATATTGTCCCCCTTAAGTACCCTTATGCTATGAATATGAAACGTATTTTGGACTCACGCAGATCGCCGGCGACCACGGCGAGGAGCGAGCACACAACCGCAGCGATGAGCCTCATGGTGACTAGACTGATACAAATCAGAGCGCCACACTTGCAATAAGAATGAGATAAGCGCTATCAGTAAAACGTGGAACCACGTGGAGGACTCGCTAGGATCGGTGAAATGCCGTCTTATATTGAGATCCGGGGCAGCCTCTGACCTTAGGTTTTAAGGAAATAGTGAAAGAGTGGCAACTATGCTTTCTCATTTATCTTTGGTAATATGAAATTCTGAGAAAATAGTTTAGTCAGGTATAACGACCTTGAACTCACCATTATCGCCTCTTATCTTCATACCTTCTCGAGTAATCTATACAAAAAAATTATCGACCGTTTAAGGTTTGGGATAAAAAGTCCCGGACAGTTTAACACGGCAACGACTCTCGCAAGTCGAATACTGCACAGGAATCTTGGAGGCTCATGCTACAATTTGTCTCTTTTTTGGGTCCGACTGTTGTGTGAGGAGCGCTGCTCATATGATAGCAATAATTCTCATCGCAACGGTGACGATGTGACTTTCACTGTGGGAGGGGCATTTGAGGGGCAATGAGGGGGCGCGGGGGGAGTGAGACGAGCTGCAGGACACCTTTGGGAGGTATTGCTATAATTGGTCGCTTCCTGTGGCGGCGTGGTGTGGAGTGGCGTTCTTGCAGGGCGGTGCATCGCCCGATTGCAACTCCAGAACTTCTGTGAATTCTCCCCCTGCCCTCCTTCTCTTCTGCCTCTGCCCCCTCCGTGCCTGCTCTAGAAATGTTTACTCTCCTCTCATATCAGCTTAGGAGACCAAACACACTTTAAATAACTACTAGCTATATGTACGCCAGACCACGTCTCGCGTAACAGGCTTCGCGATATCTCACGAAACACTGTTACGCTGCGACGCGCCTGGCGCAC